CCTTCACTTAGGGCTCTTACTTCTAAGTTCAAAGACGACAACTTGAATACTTTGGCAACACAAGGTATTTGAATTTATTTAACTACCTAGTACTTAATTAGTTGAAACACAAATAGGTTACTGCTAATTCTGAAAACGCCAAAAAAAATCCACTTTTTTTAGGCTTCTCGTGCGCATTTGAAAATACACAATCTCTGAGAGAGAAATTATGTTAAGGTTGACCTGAAATCAAGAGCAGGCAACACGCATAAGAGCGCATTCTAACCTCTTACTAAAGTAAACAGTTTAAGGGTAGCCATATGCCCTTGGTCTATGACCACAAGGCCCAAGTCCTGAAGTCAAGGAAACAGCGTTTAAGGAGAGCATGTTTATAGGTTAAGGGAGGAAAGTGTATTTCACTCTGCACCAACTCTCCTCTCAGCGAGCGTGGGCCCAGAAGGGCCGGGGGGTCGGAAGGAGAGATGGATCTCAAGCAGAGACGGCGGAGCTAGAGCTAGTGACCAAGCACCGGCCACTGACTGCAAGACACGAGCCCGGAAACCCAGAAGCGGCGATCACGGACCTGGGACTGGGGATGGGGCCGGGGGTAGAAGAGGGGGTGAAGGAGGGTGGGAGAAGAGCTGCCTAACTCTCCTGCACCGCCGCCAAACACAGGGCCTAGCCTGAGGCCTGCGACTGCCCAACACCGACAGCTGCCACCACCCTACGGCCCCACCTTCGACCTCCAGGTCAGAGACCGCCCGGGACGTGGCGCATGCGCACTGCGCCGCCCCGCGTGCCGCGACCCCCCGCCCTCCCCGCCCCGCCCGCCGCCGCCGCAGCCTCCCGGCCGCGGACCGCGCCAGGCCCCACGCGCCTGTCGCCGGAGCAGGGCCGCGCAGCCCTGCAGGCGCCGCCGCCGACTCCCAGGCCCCCGGGCGGGCCTCACCTGGGGCCGGGCCTTCGGGCTCACGCCTCCGTGGACTTGCAAGTGCCGCAGAGCTGGAAACGCTGCTTCAAATCTGGGCGCCGCGGCGGCCTCCGAACTTGCTTCAGTTTAAGCTCACCGCCTTCCTGGTTCCAGCGCCAGGCAGCGCCAGCCGAGCTTTCGAGTGCATCGATGGAGGCTACCAGGCGTTAGGAGTGCCGAGGGAGTGGATTGTCACACCGCCAATTTTTTGTTTGGTGTTGGTTTTGCGTGCTTGTTTGATTATTTGATTTTCTTGTTACCAAAAAGCAATAAAGGTGGGAACTGAAGAGTGTTATTGCCTTAGTAATCGTCGTTATCGTCACAGATAATCAGTAAACAAATCTTCATCGGAGGAAGTTATGTTTAAGACTCCCACACGGAGCAGAATTGGTTATCTCGTGCTGGGAAGAAGGGAACTGTCCCAACAATATAAATCATGGAGTTGTTATGTATAGAGTCGTATTTGATTAAATTGTAATCATTTATTTGCAAAAAATGCATTAAAATTCGGTGTTTCTTCTGCCTGAAGGTGGAGGCACGCACCGGTTGGGTGCAAATTAGTGCCTCACGTTAAAGTAACTGGTTCGTAGTGGAATGGGGGAAGGCTGCCCGAGGCAGGGACAGAAGGTTTCTTCTGAAAGACAAATTAAATGTACAGGTCTTTTGTTGTTATTTAAACCGATACAAATTAAAGCGATTCAGCGTTTTCTGTAACTCATACTACGTTATTTATCTGTCCTTGCATATACATCATTTCTGCCTTATTTACTATAAGTAAGCAACGATAAGGAGGTAAATAAACTGTTGGCCTTGGTTTGGGTCGACTGTGAGAACCAACTCGTTCACAACTGCTAGAATCCCAAGCTACAGTTTTCTGCAGACGTTTGAGATGGTGAAAAATCACCTCCACAAATCTATTTCTCATAAATGACTGTACCTTAACTAACCAGTTTTGAGGGACCGTTTTAAAACTTAACTATAACACTACATGTTTAAATAATTCAAGAGCTGGGGGAACCCTTGGGGTCCCTAATTTCATTGGAACCTGTATATCTGTCTGCAGGCTGTCAACTGAGTTTTACTCTCAATGTTTTCTTACCAAAACTGCATTTTGAAATGTCCTGTCTCCGGAAAATATTTGCTATTTAATGAAACAACATCATTAAACTTCGTGAACATTTATCAGTATGTGTGATTTTAAAATGATGGTTTTGTGAGTTTTTTTTTGGGGGGGGGAGGTTGTATTGTTTTGTTTTAAACTAAACTTCCTTAGGCCATTGGGAATCCGTGGTCAGACACTGCAGATTTCTCATTGCTCCGTTTGATAGCAACAAACTATTCCTAAATAAATAAAGAGCCAATATGCCAGGGAAATCAATGGGAAAACCTATTTGACGTGAATTACACAACGATTGTGTCTGAGCCTTTCCTGATTTACCTTTAAAGTGGTCATCTTTCCCTCAAGCTAGTGGATGGAATTTGAGTTCAGACTTAAAAGTCTGCTTGAAAGAGCAAAAAAGTAGCTAGTGGGTCTTCGAATCCTTTACCAGACTTCTAACAGTGGTTATTTTGGAGCTGTTTGTGACTACATATTTAACACCTCATTTCGAGAGCTCTGTGAGCACCACATCCATTTAACTGACCTCAATACTGGTCATTCTGCCAAATAACCTCAAAAGCAGATTTTCATAAAGAAGTAAAGTTTTATGGTTATTCCCTTCTGATAATATCAGAATTAAAGTGGTTACAAATAGTAACCCAAGACTAATGAGTAAAATCATGTTTCCAAATTCATATAACTTTGGAAAGTGTATTTGAGTCTCTTTTGCAGTATAATTTTTAAAAAAAGAAAGCACTTATGTAATTCATTAATAACTAAAAGCTATTGCTCCTGGAAACTTCAAGATCTTAATTATTTCTCCTAAAAGTAGCAATAAACAAAATGCTTTAAGAAGAACAAAAGATAACTTCAGAATTCAAGAGAAAAATGGCAAAGTAACATTTCTTAAAAGTATGATTTCCATCTCTCTTAAGCTACCAAATGTGAACATTTTAATTTGAGTGGTATAGTATGACACAAAGTTCTATGTCATGTCTATTTACATATATTCCATAAATACCAATATATTGTTATAATTGTGTTCTCTGTTTACAAATGTTTCATGTTGCTTTGATGGAACTTCTCAAATTATCTGTTAACTGTGTTGATGCCCTACCCAATAAGTGGAAGATATATTTATCAAAGCTCTGTAATTGCTTTATTTTTACTAAGAGTGTTAGATCCAAGAAAATGAACAAGTTACATTTAACATCAGAAAGCCTACACTAATATTCAGATTACTTGAAAATGTCCCCAAAGCCACACTTGAAGAGATATATTTGTGTACACACAAGTAAATACAACATTTCGTATGTAAATATTCTTATGTGAGATAAATCTCTATGGCCACACCACTCACAGGGAGCACAGCACAGACAAACGACTCAGGAATCTAGATGGTCCTTCCATTTAACAAATTGCTTCAATCAAAATAGTCCAGGGATAGAATTTTAAATCGTAGCTTTAAGAGAGTGAAGGAGAATTCTTTCTCCCGGCGAACACGCCTTTTTGACTAGTCCACTACAAATAAAATTAGAAAGGGCACGAACTTAACGTCGATTTTTTTTAAACTCAAAGAGGAATGATCATTCGCTTTTCAAAATTAAGAAATCAACTGGAATGTTTCTGAGGATGCTAAAGAAGAGCTCCTGTAATTCTTTGGGGGAGGGGTCTGGACGCGGGGACTTGCAAGGGAGAAAGGATAAGGGTCCTGAGACCTCAAAGAGGGAACGAAGTCAAACTGTCCTAGACCAGGCGCTAAGGAAACACTTTAAAATGAAATCTGTCAGGGAACAGCTGCTCGGGAAATGTGTTAAATCGACCGGCCCCTTCGTGCGCGATTTGTCCGTAGGGGAGTCGCTTAGGCTCCAGGACGTGAGTAGTGGGGTGAATCACAAACTCCCCGGGATGGGGAGCTTGATGAAGACCCAGGCTCAACTCTGGTTGCGGGCCGGGAAGCCCCTGAAAGAAGCTCCGCCGGCCTAAGAAGCTGTAGAGGACACTGACACTGGACACGGTTGTGAAGCCAGGATGCCAGGCTGCGTGGTGACGGGGGGAGAGGGGGCAGCGGAGATGTAAGACTGGGATAGGAGGTCAGGATACGGAACTGGGGTGCAGGGCTCCTGATGCAAGACGAGGATGCCGAGCAGCAATGCGGGGCCGAGCAGTTGCGCCGCACGCCGACGCGGGGAGAGGATGTGGGGTCGTTGCGGAGTCTGGATAACCGGCTGACTCCAGGAGCCGCGCACTTGTCAGTTTCCTCTTGGCCACGCCCCGGCAGAGTAGGTCCAGATCCCCAGTGTTTAACTAAGTCGTGACACCAACGCAAAATCCACGCCTAATTAAATTAATTAGGGATTCTTGTCAAGCCTGGATTAATGGCCAAGAGCGCAGGCGGCCGGGGCTATCTGAAAACCCGGACAGCCGGGGACCTGCCTCCTCTTCCCGCCCCCTCCCGTCCCCCTTCGCTGCCCTCCCACTCCAGCCCCAGCCTGCCTGGACTCCAGCCTTAATCAATCTCAGTCTCTCTCTCTCTCTTTCTCTTTCCCTCTCTCTCTTTCTCTTTCCCTCTCCCTCTCTCTCTTCCCCGCACCCCCACCCCAGCCCCCCCTCCCCTTCCCCCAGGTAGTGGCGGGGGTGCTTCCCGGGAAGGGGCTCCCTCCGAGTTGCGAAGGGGAGGTAATTTACTCAGAACAAGGGGCCGCCTTTGCGAAGTATAAATAGTGAGACTTCAAGCGCAGCGTTGCTATCAGATCTGAACTCTCCGCAGGAAGAATTGTCAAAGATCTTAACATTGAACAAGCGCACTCGGGCAGGGAAGCATCAGTTCCCATTTCCCTCCGGCGGCCCCCGCCCCTTCCCTCTTCTTCCTCCTCCTCCTCGTCCTCCTCCTCCTTGTCCTCCTCCTCCTTTTCCTCTTACTTCTTTTTCTCCTTCTACTTCTCCTCCTCTTTCTTCTCTCTTCTCTTCTTTTTCTTCTTCTTCTTCTTCCTCCTCCTCCCTCTCCTCCCCCACCCCCTACCCCATTGATGTGTTATTATTGGGGGGGCTGGAGCAGTAAAAAAAGAAGAAGGAAAAAAAAGAGCGGGGCTCGGCTGGGAGAGGTTGAGCGCGGGGCTGACGGACATCGGCGGCGATGGAAGAACTTACGGCGTTCGTCTCCAAGTCTTTTGACCAGAAAGTGAAGGAGAAGAAGGAGGCGATCACGTACCGGGAGGTGCTGGAGAGCGGGCCTCTGCGCGGGGCCAAGGAACCGACCGGCTGCGCGGAGCCCTGCCGCGACGACCGCAGCAGCCCGGCAGTCCGGGCGGCCGGCGGAGGCGGCGGCGGCGGAGGAGGCGGAGGAAGCGGAGGCGGAGGAGGCGGAGGAGGTGCAGGAGGAGGAGGAGCAGGCGGAGGAGCTGGAGGAGGGCGCTCTCCCGTCCGGGAGCTGGACATGGGCGCCGCCGAGAGAAGCAGGGAGCCGGGCAGCCCGCGGCTTACCGAGGGTAACGGCCTGACCCCCGGCCGCGGTTCCCCTTCCCGCCTTCCCAACTCCTCTGGCGGGAGAGGACCCCGAGGCCCGGCGGGGTTGGGGACGGCACGCGCAGAGGGCCCCCGGATCCCAGCTTTGGGAGCTAGAGTGGTGATGGAGGGGTGGGAGTCCGGTGGTGTGCACGGTCGTGGGTGGGGTCCGGGTGTGTGGGGGGAGGGGGAGCGCGTGGGGTTTGTGCGCATCCTTCTCAGATGCTCCGGCTATTCCCACTCCACCGAAACGCATTTTCATCAGCCGGAGGATCGGCCCGCAGCCCAGACGGCCCGCGGGCGGATGGGGAAGTTCTCGGGGCTGGCTGCTGGCAGGGGTGCTGCCAGTGGCTGGGCCAGGAGACGCGACTGCGGTTAGCGTCTCGCGCCGATTTCGCGGGAGCCCCTTTTCTAGGCCTGAGAGAGGAAGGAGAGAGATTGATGGATGGATTGACTGGGATTTCAGCCCCAGGTCGCCCCAGGGTTTCAGGCCGCCCGCTAAGAGCCACTCGAACTCCGCGAAGACCCTGGATCCCTGGATCTTGGGGTCCCAAACTTCCCTTTCTCTTTGAGCTATGAAGGTAGAATGAGGCCAAGGCAGGCCAACGTCCGGGCTACGCTGTTTCTCTCAGGAGACGCGTTAGGCTCCTTTTTTGGGTTTATTTTTCGATATTTACACAATTCCGTTACTGCTTCGCATAGTCAGGTACTCTGGTTTTGTAGGGGGAAAATCCTTTGGTGCCAGAAAAGTGTTAGGAAAAGGTTTTATCTAAATGGTGGAGCGTCCTGTACCAATTCAAAGGAGTTTAACAATAAAATTAATTTGGCACTTGGTGCCTGCAGTAACTGGTGCGCTGCCATATTTTTCCAATTAAGAAAATATGTGACATGCGTGGAATCACATATTTAAGCAAGCAATTAAGTTGTTTATAACACGATCCGTTCTTCTTTAGGCCAATAGGGAAATTTGGGGGCGAAATAAAGATTGTATTAATTCTATGAATCAACTTGAAATGTGGACATCTTCCTCTTTGAAGCCCCAAAAGTTTGAGAGGCATGTACTGTGGGCGACACGAAATAGACAAAGCCTTCTCACCCCTTTGGCAGAATCTGAAGGGTGTGCTTTCGTATTTAAATTTCATTACGGTACCAGTGGAAATATTTTCCTGTTAACCCGGCTCTAAATGTTTGCTCGAATGTTACCCACTTCCTCCCCGGAGGAAGTGCAAATGTCCACAAAACGAACTCTGAGACTAAAAATGCGGGCAACACTTAGGATCACCGTAGCTACAATGCCAGGCCGGGCTGAGATCTAGAGCTCTTCTTTCCCTGGACCCGGCAGCAGGTCCTCTTAAATTTGGAAAATGATGGCAGAACTGTCAGGCAGCCCAGTGCAGCCTCTCGAGCGTGAGTCGCAGCTTCAGGCCCTGGGTACACCAGCATGCCGGACCGCGAGGTTAGAGTCTGAACCCCGGGCAGACACAGTCCTGGGACTGTTGATTTCCAAGCTCAGGGCAAGTATTAACTTCTCTGCAGGCCAGCTTTTCCGGAATTGATTTTTAACACCTATGCTGATCTGGATCCTGGGCTGGGAGGAAGTGCAAACAGCCTCGACTATCCAAACGCGGCTTTGACACCTTAAAAACCCAAGTCTCCGACTCAGGAGCAGAGGATGAAGCTTCCAGAGAGCAGCTTCTGTTGATACAGGCTCCCCATTACTGCTCCTTGAGCTAAATATATATATCCATATCCCTCGGGTGTCTCTGTATACTCACGCTCGCAGAGCTCCTGTTTTTGAAGGTAGGAGAAGGAAGGACAGGAAAGTAGCTACGGATGTGTGCAAACCCAGAGCAGGAAAATGCATATTTTATTAAACATCCGAGCGGCTGGGTGCATGAAAAGGCTGTGAACAACCAATAGAAACCGAGGATCGCGAATGTTCCGCTTGAACCTGTTGATCTCTGTGGGTTTGAGCGTTTAGGGTCGAGTCTGCCTTTCCAACGGGGAGGGAGAAGGAGGCAACGGTCTGTTTCGCGGGCCACTGGAAGCTGGTTTTCGGGCTCTCGCCTTCTGGCCGGCGTGGGCGGCGAGCCCTCCAGGCCGCCAACATGGCGTGGGCGCCTGTGCTTAGGCGACCTGGGTCCGCCAGGGGGGACGGGGACTGCCTGGCCGCCCACGGGCCATCCTGGGGATTTGGCTGGAGCCCCCGTTGGCACCGAGCGCCGGAGGATAGTGCTCCCAGCGCCGCGCAGCACCTGGGTCTTGTTCTCCCGCTGCGCCCCTTCGACCCAATTGTTTCCGAATTAGCCCACAACTTTGAGAGAAACAGAGAGCCAGCGGCGGCCAGAGCTGGGCTGGAAACGGTCTAGCTGTCTGGGAATGGCCAGTGTGAGAAGCCAGTGTGTGGCCTCGCCGCGCCCTTCTGCCCCCAGCGCGTCCTGTGACCAGCGGGGCGCGGCGCTTTTGATTTCTGTGCGTGCGTGGGCGAGAGTGAGTGTGAGAGAGCCGGAGTGGAACGGATTTGGTGTTCGCAGGGGATGGAGGGTGGATGGTGAGGAGGTGAGTTGAGGCCACAGTTGCGGAGGGAATGGGTGGGTGAATGCCCACCTTGCCCTGGGGCGCCTACCCAGAGTTGATTTTTGCGCATTTCCGGGATCCTCTTCCTCGGGACAGGGTGAGGGACCGGACAGGAACTCCGGGAAGGGGCAGGGTCCTCCATCCTTCTTGAGACAAATCTGGTAACGGGATTTGCTGTGTTGTTTTTGTCCACGTGTGTGTATGTGTTGCTGTGTGCTCGTGTGGACGTACGTGTGGCCCTGTTCGTGGTGACCCCTTCAGTGTCCCCGGAGCTGAAAGATCGAAAAGAGGATGCGAAAGGGATGGAGGATGAAGGCCAGACCAAAATCAAGCAGAGGCGAAGTCGGACCAATTTCACCCTGGAACAACTCAACGAGCTGGAGAGGCTTTTTGATGAGACCCACTACCCGGACGCCTTTATGCGCGAGGAACTGAGCCAACGGCTGGGGCTGTCTGAGGCCCGAGTGCAGGTACCAGGCTGTGAGGAGGTTGAGGCTGGGCCCAGGGAGAGGGGGAGGGGCGCTCCTGGGGTTGGAGAGACGGCTTAGGGGACACATACCAAGGGTGTGCGGGTTCGAGTGTCTAGAGTGAGGTGAGAAGGAAAGGGATATCTTTGCTAGAGGTCTTATTTTCCAAAGTAAATCTTAGTCTTATAGCACCCCCCCCCCCATCCCCTTCTTTCCCCGTCCCAACATATGTTTCCAGCAGAAGAAAGCTGTGCTGGGCTTGCTCCCAGAGTTTCTATAAACCACAGACCCCTCGCCTCATGATGCCTTTAATGTGGTTTAATCCTAATGGGCCTACTTTTATAAGCCTTAAAAAAAAAAATCGCACAGAAAATGTTTTATCTTCTGGATGCCCTAAAAGTTACAAGGAATATTTGTTCACCCGACTTGGGTTTCCTTGAGGGTCTGCTCTGGGGTCTAGGTTTGCTGAGAGGATATGCCAATTAGGTTTATAGAGGTACAGACTATAAAGAAAATTAGCAACTGTTAAGTGCAGAAATTTACAGTCTGTCCTTAGCGGTAGATCTCAAACTGTGTGAAGCATCAGAGAAAGAAATGCATTTTGGTCGCTCTTTGTTCCCTCATTTAATCAAGGCGGGGAAACTGAACCACAGAAACTTGATTTTAAAACAACTCACATATCTTAATATTGACATTTCCAAAGTCTAACCCCCAGCAAGTGCCATTGAAGTTAGAATTGGAGCAGATTTTCTCACTGGTTGTAGAGGTGAATGTAATGGCAAAAGTAGGCTTTAGGGGCATGTAAGGTGAAAAATTATATACGAACGTGCATACATATCCTCCTTCTTTATGGAGAACAAATTTAAATGTTCCAAATTGTATTTCCGCTCAAATAATAAAATAGGAGAAAATGATGGTCATTATTTGTTTGAACACATGGAGCAGTTTTAGGCCTGAACATCTGCAGCTGTTACAAAGTATCACTGTAACAGATACTCCCTGGGTCTCCGATCGTAGAGACCACCATCTGCAGCAAACTATGCAATTCTTATGGGGCTTCCCCACATCTTGTAATAGGATCAGGACAAAAACAGAGCAGACACGTTGAATGGGAAAAGTAATAATAGGCTGCCTTGGTCATCACAGTGTCAACAGCAGAGCCTTCCTTTTTAAGCCTCTCCTGCTTTGCTCTGTGTGTACTGAGATCTCTAGAGGCTCACAGCCCCTTAAAGACATGATGATAATTATTACAGTTGTGAGCATTAGTATCTCAGTTCCAACTTTTCTCCAGGACAAAAGAGGCAAGAAGCCTCAGGCCATTTGAGTTACACAAAGAATGCCACCCTGGCATGAAATCTACCCTTCTATTATACTAAATGGCAGGGGAACTTTTAAAGATTTACATTGACTATGACACTTGCTTTCAAAAACAAGAAAAAGCTCTGAAGCAATATTTTACTTTCATGGGGTTTTTAAATACATTAGTTTGTGAATCAGTCAATATGCTGTATTATTGGAACATAATGCTGTATTATTGGAGTATAAAAACAAGCTTTATTTGAATTTTTAAAAATCTGTCATACCGCCTCTAAAAGTTGGCAAGTTTATTTAAGAAAGTACTGTCTGGGAAAAGATAGAATCCAGGAGTTACTTGATTTATCCCCCACCTCCCTTTCACAGAATGTTGTTCCCTTTCTCTCATAAGAAGCGAACTTTATTGCTGGTCTTTATTTTTTCACACTTTTATTTAAATTTTTGAGCTATTTTCTGGATGCTTCTGTAACTGCAAGCAGTGGCTTTTTCTATAGAAGCAAATTAGATTATCATGATAATAGCACAATTATTCTGCTACTGTGTTACACTCTGCTGCACAGAGGAACAGAGAAATTCTAAACTTCTTTGTAGAGAGGCTTTTATGACACTAATTACCTCTTCCCCCATTCTTATTCCCACCCCCCAGAAAAAAAACAGAGTCACTATTTGCTTTGGTGTTTGCTTTTTCTTGAAGATGAAGCTAATTAATATTACAGGCTATTAATGAGCACATTCTTCTCAGGTCTTACTGGGCAAACGTCTAAACCCGCGATCACTTTGGTATCAGGTATCAGGGAGAGTTTCAGGCCTTAGGGACGCTAATGTGGAAAGATGAAACCAGGACTAGCAGTAATTTATCAAAAAACAATTTATCTTGCAAAAGTCTATGAAATCTATTTTTGTCATTTGTTTACATTTTTAACTCTGGAAATTGAGACTATTCTATATAGTTCAAAGATTGCTTGCTATATCTCCCAATCCTTACCTAAACATTACTCTTTTTTCACTGTAAGTTTTAAAAGTTTTTGAGTCATAGCATCTAGGTTTTATTTTTTGTCTCTGATTTGTAGGTTTGGTTTCAAAATCGAAGAGCTAAATGTAGAAAACAAGAAAATCAACTTCACAAAGGTAGGCTTCTCAGACAAAGGACATTTGGTATTTTAAGCAAAGAGAGAATTGGGGACTATTGTCATTACAAAGACAAAAAAACTTCTCAGAGATAACCATATTTAAAAATCTGCTCTGAAGACAGCTAATGAAAGTCTTAAAGTTTGGGAGTAAATTACATTTATTTTAATTACGGCAGCAGTTTAGGAAGTTAACAGTCCAATTCCAAAGGAATTAGTTCTATCTCGGTACCATTTGAAACCCTGGAAAACAATGCTGGAAATATCAACCTCACATTATTGTGTTTTGTTCCCCTACTTTTTACAGGTGTCCTCATAGGAGCTGCCAGCCAATTTGAAGCATGTAGAGTCGCACCCTATGTCAATGTAGGTGCTTTAAGGATGCCATTTCAGCAGGCAAGTACAGCCCAGTTTCAACCTGTTTTTAACTGTATAAAGTCCTGGATGTTTACCTGAACTGTTGAGTACCCCCTCTCTCTGAACCCCAATGTTGGTGTCTATGCAGTTGGAAAATCAATGTTGAGATGATGTAGTGGACCTGCTCCCTGCATGCCTAGTCCTTTCTGTCCTCATGGGAAACACGCAGAGGCCTGAGGGCAGCAACCAGTCCTTTAAAGGTGCACGAAAGATTGTGCTTGGGGAGAGGAAGGAAAAGCCTTTTGATTAAAATTTTGTCAGATCCAATACGGAAGTTAGTCCTAAACTGTTTCTAAGGCAACTCTCTAAATATGTTTCTAGGTATTTTCTATATCTTAGTCATGTTAAATGTCTCGGACAGAAAATAAATAAATAAATAAATAATTAAGTATGCCCAACTCGGACTTGATTTTCTAGAGCTGTCCCTGTAAACAAAGCTTCATCTCTAGGAGAGAGAGAAGCCTGGGTCTTCCCAGGGTCTCCTGCCTCTGCAATGCCTTTCTTAGCCATAAAGAGACTTTTAAGACTACATTTTAAAAGCACAGCCTGCAGCAATGATTTAATCCTGGGAAATCCCAGTGCTCTGAACTCCCTGCTTTCCAAGCCTAAGGGCGCAACTCTTTCCCAACCAGTGCTTGACCTTCCCCATCCGCAGCAGGACCCCTACTTGGTAGGACTGTGAAGTCATGAATTAGCTCTCAGTTCCCAGTGTCCTGGACTGGGGAGACCCCTGAGTGTGCCCAAGTATTGAGGGTTAGTGTTAGGGAGCTCTTAGCTCTCTTGGCACCACAGGACTCTGGTATCCTGACGCTAGGTTTTTGAAACAAGAGAGAATGACTGGAGAAAGAGAGAGAGGGATCTTAAAAGGAGACCCTTACTACTCAGGAGGTGATCTGCAGGCCTGCAGCACCTGGGAGATTGTTAGAAATGCAGAATCTCAGGCCCCCACCTAGACCTTCTGAATCAAAGTCTGCATTTGAACAAGATTCTCAGTTAGTTCTTATAGCAGTAAAGGTTAGAAGTACTAACAATTGTGATGAAGATGCAGTAACTTCCCAAGTGACATGAAAAAGTTTTGTAGTTTGCTTGTTGGAACTTCAGTGCTTTAGTAGTGGGGTGAGAGTGTATGACAGCATCCAGAGAGGAGGGGAAGGGCCTTTGCCCCGTCTTTCCAATACACCATCGTTATTTTGAGGAGGGTGATATTTTAGCGCAATAGCAGTGTGTCTTTCTGATGGGCCCAGCTCCCGAGGGGGCGGCCGCGTTCCAGCAGACGGGAGCCCCCAGGACCCAGGCAGATAAGCTGTGCTGATTAAGTTGCAGAGACTCAGGGGCACTGGAGTATCCCTGTGGCGCCCCAGATTCAGTAACAGACTGAGAAGGTCAGCCAAACGTCCCTTTCCCATCCCCTGCCCCAGCCTTCCCCGAGCCAAGCTGGACGCCGTTAATGTTCTGTTTCTATTCTGTTGTCACCCTAGGATAGTCATTGCAACGTGACGCCCTTGTCCTTTCAGGTTCAGGCGCAGCTGCAGCTGGACAGCGCCGTGGCGCACGCGCACCACCACCTGCACCCGCACCTGGCCGCGCACGCGCCCTACATGATGTTCCCGGCGCCGCCCTTCGGACTGCCGCTCGCCACGTTGGCCGCGGACTCGGCCTCGGCTGCCTCTGTCGTGGCTGCTGCCGCTGCCGCGAAGACCACCAGCAAGAACTCCAGCATCGCCGATCTCAGACTGAAAGCCAAAAAGCACGCGGCCGCCTTGGGTCTGTGACGCCAACGCCAGCGCAAAGGTCGCGCTTCCACCGTGGCACGCCCCCTGCACGCCCTCCGCGCCCCGCTGCTTCTCCTTTACCCTCTCCGGACCTCCGGACCGAGCCTCTTTCCGCCCGCTGATCGCCCCTTGCCCCCTTCGGCATCCCGGACTCGGAGGGCGGGACTCTGCGCGGGACCCGGGATCCCACGAGGCGCACCAGCTCCGTGGCTCCTGACCATTCACCTACCCGAGGCCCTAGAATTCGGCTTTGTAGGGGCGGGTTTGGGGAAGTCTGGAGAGAGACTGGACAAGGGAGTGCTGGGACAGCGGAATGTGGCCGACGGCAAAGCTGCAACGATGGACTCCGGCATAGAAATAAAAATCCTGTTAATAAAAAATGAGCAAAAAAAAAAAAAAAAGTAGAAAAGCGAACCAGAGAGAGAAAGAGAAAGGGAACTTATTTCTTACTGCTATTTGACAGAAGCTGAAATCGGAGATAGAACCAAGGAACAAAAACAAATTTTAGAAAGTAAAGTATTTTATACATTTAACAATATGGAAAAATAACCTGGATGAATCTCAAGAGAAGGGGGAAGAGGTACCAACTTAGAGCGTATGTTTTTTTTTAATGGGCTAAGAAGGCAAAACAGAAAGAAGAGGTATACTTATTTAAAGAATTAAGATGAAAAAAAGTGGGCAGCTGGGAAGTTCACAGGTTTTGAAACTGATCTTTTTCTGCGAAGTTCACTTTAATACAAGAAATTTGATAAGAGAGGCGGGCCTCCTTTTACGTTGAATCAGATGCTTTGAGTTAAAAGCCACCATGTATGGAAGAGCAAGAAGAGGGAAGACAGTATAAAAACGAGGAGAGAAAAAAATGCTATTAACACAAAAAAGTGATACCACAGACAATGATTTCGCTGAGAAATTATGGCCGAACTGTCCAGACTGCTGACAGTAAATTCCGGGTTGCATGTTACTTGTATTCCGTTGATGGTGTCTCCCCCCTCCCCGCTTTATTCACATGCACTTACTCCATTTTCATCTCCAGTACGAAAAACACCACGAAAAGCATCTGGAAATTGATATGTATCTATATATATTTTTGCCCTGTCTTTGATCCTGGGTGACAAAAGAACAAAATCGGAGGGGAAAAAATTTACACTGATTATCCCAAGAAAACTGAGGCGGGCAGAAAATGTGGGGAAAGGAAAAAGAAAACAAGAAGACCCAATGAAATAATGAAGGTACAGCGCCTCACTCCGGGCCTGACACATACATAGTAGGCGCTCAGTGTTAGTCCCCCCCCTTGCCCCTTCCTTGAGTTCCCTCTTGCTGATTTCCTGAAGTCCTCTTTGAGGACCGTACTTTATTTCCCCCTCTCTATCCTGTCACACCTTAAACAACACCCAGCTAGATACAGGCACTAGGTTTGTGTAAAATATGTTGATACACACAAAGTTTATTTTGGCTAAAATGTGTGAACTGATGGTTGACTTTCAACATTTGCATTTTATTTCACAAAGGTGTATATTCAAGTAATTGTTTCAATTCATGTAGCTATTTAAACTGGGGTACCCTGGACTAAGCAATCTGTATCCCAATTCTCTAGAAAGCCTCCTTAGTTGTTTTTTTTTCCCTTCTAATTTACAAGAAAGAGGAAAAGCTCTTTTAACTGAACTTTGCTATGCGGTTGAGCTTTGTAACTATTTGTTCTCCATGAAAACAAAATTATTTATATTTGCCATATTTTTTCTAGTGTATTAAGTTATTTTAAACAAAGAAGATGCTGTTATTTCATGACGTGTTGTCGGTACAAAATGTTTTGGTTTCACCTTTGTTAAACCTTTTAAATAAGTGCCAAGTTATTAATTGAAGACACTTTGCGATCAATTGAATGAAAATAGTATTGTTTCATTTGATGAGGTTCGCGTCGTCTTTGTTCCTGTTACTATTAAACTATCCGGGATAATCTTTCCGTCTTCCTTTTTGATGAATGTGTCTTTCCAATATACCAACTTGGGAAAGCGCTTGCCTCTGCTCCTACGTGCCGCTAAGGGCCGTGAGAATGGTGGCTCTGTGGCGCTCGTTAGCGCAGAGCGAAACTTTCATCCCCCCATTTTATCCACCTGCACAGAAACCGGATAGGTTTTATACCAAATCAGTAAAGGAACGGATAATACGTAAAATAACATAGAATAGAATAACCCTCCCTTCCCCAGGACGGACTCTCGTTCTTCATTTGGTGCGCTTTCACTCTTGAAGTTTACTTGGGGGACTTTTTAGGGAGGAATGAAAGCGGCATCAAGCGGTGCAAAATCCACCTGGGTTAATTGCGGACGACAGACTCTCGGTTCCAGGTCCCCGACCCTCCCCGGAGTCGGGCAGGCGATGATGGTTGGGGAGTGGGTCGAGAGCCGCGGAGGGGGCCTGGGGCGCTGGAGAGGGCGGATCTCCCACTTCCCACTGCAGTTTAGCGCTTTGGGAAGCAGCTAATGCGTTGGTTAAATTTAGGTAAAGGTAGAAGCCTGGACCGTGTTTAGGAAAAGCCAGGTCATAGTGATCCTCAGAATCCCGAGGAGCCCCTCCCTCCCTCCTCCTCTTGCCCCCTTCTCCAGGAAGAAATCCCACGGGTCAAGCCCCCAGGCGCTGCCTGTTTCGGGGTGGGTAGAGACCGCGGAGACGCAGCCCTGGCCGGGCCCAGGACAGGACCTTCCCTGCCCGCGCGGGCTCTGGGGATGGGGGCGCCCTCCTCGAAGATGGAGAGTTTCCTGAGTATCCCCTGGGGCCCCTTGGGCTGGAGGACGTGTAGAGGAGGCGACCCCTCCGACGAACCTTCCCCGGGCGAGCCGGCGCTCGGCGCTGCGCCTCCGCGTACACGGGGTGCGGTGTCGCGGCGCTCCCGGCGGCCCAGCAGGCGGGGGGCCGTCGTCCGCGCTCGGGGCTGGCGGGGCTCCAGCCGACCTGACGGGCGGCCCGAGCTTCACAGCGCGCAGCTGCCTGGGCCCCGGCCCGGGGGCCTCCCGTCGGCGCGGGGCTGGGGGTCCCACGGGCGGCCTCCAAGCCCCCGCCCCGAGCCAGCCCCGCTGGCCGCTCGGACGCTCCGCGGGCACCCCGGGGGAGGCACAGGGCGCGGGAGAGCTCGGCCCGGGAGGCGGCGGCGGGGCCCGGGCCTAGGCTGCGCCCGCAGCTGCGCTCCGAGAGGCCCGAGGTCGAGGGAGGCGCGGCGCGCGGCCCGCAAGGCTCCCGGCGCGGCGGCGGGCGCGGGGCCGTCGAGGCCCCCAAGCCGCGTGGGGAAGGCCCGCGTCCCGGGCGGCCGGCGCGGCGTGAGCTCCGCGGCCTGGGGGCCCCGCGGCGCCTCGCCTCCTGCCGCGCCCGCGCTCCCCAGACTCGGCGGGGCCAAGGCCGCCGTGCCCGGCCGGAGGGGCCAGGCCGTCGGTCCCGCCTCCCGCGCCCGCAGGGCCGGCTGTGCGAGCGCAGCGGCCCAGACTCCCGGCAGGCCCGCGGGTGTGAACAAGAGGTTCCAAACCCTGACCTCCCGGAGCCGCGCTGAGAAAGGGGCCAAGGAAATCTTCACTTTAAATTCAAGTGAGGCCCAACATGCACTGGTTTGGATCGAAACTCAATAGTCGTAATAAATAATAAATAAAAATTTCGCCTCCCCCCCCCCCAAATGTTTCAGGGTGTTCACAGCCTTCTCGAGCTACAAAATCCCAGATTGGGGAAAAGTGACTTAAAGAGATTATTCAAGACATCATTGGTGTTAAGGACTCTGTGACACAAGCGGTCCGTAAGATTGAAGGCCTTTGCTGAAACTGAACTGATAAATATCTATTTTGAGTTTTTCCTCAGATTTATAGCTTTTTAGATCCTCAGATGGTAATGCTTTAGCATAATGCAATGCTCAAATTTCGGAACTATTTTGATTTCTGAAAAATGCCTTTTTGGCTTCAGCGACATGAGATCCTGTTATTTTTTCACAAATCAGTTTACATCATAAATTGCAAACATTTGCAATAAGATCTCAAGATTGTTTATTTTATGTAACCTCAAGCACTTGACTCTGTTAAACACCAGTACAGAAAGTCCGTGAAATCAGTTTAATGTGTGTGAGGGAATTAAAGGATCACTCCTTTTCATCACGTAAACAAGGCATTTAAGATTGTTTGAATTGTCAGTCTCCCAATTTTTAAACAGTCTTACAATTGAGTATTAATTTTAGAGTCATTCTGTGCAAAAATAATTACCGAAGTTATATTCTGCTTTAATTAAACGTTTCTGGGCAGAAGAAAATGGTATTCTGCATTGGGAAGTGGGTGATTGTTTTTAATGTTATATTATTTTAAATTATTTTAGTTCAAAGGTAAATAAAGTTTGCTAATTCCAACGGGGGGAAAAAGGCCTGAAATGGTTTTTTAATGTGCTGTTAGAACAGTTAGTCAAAGTACATTAAAGGAACGTCACAAACCCAGAAATAATAAATATGTCATTCTAATGAGAATGTTAACTTATGGATAATTTATTCAAGGTAGTTTTTGCATTTCACATGGAATCTCTTACGATGACCTGCCTGAGTCCCATGATGCTTGTTCTTCAAAATCTAATTTATATAGGCTCAGGATATACATAATTCATAACTCTGTTGGTATATATATGTACACACCCCAAATTTTAAACCTTTACAATATGTTTGCATGTTTACTAGCATGTTTTCAAGATGACTGAAATAAAAACATAAAAAATGTTAAACATGATATTGAAAGCAAGTGCTTGTCCATGTGTGAAGACAAAGTCCTTGAAAATTGAAAATTAAAAAAGATTAGATAATTTTCAAGCTTAGATGTAGAGTGAACACTGAAATATTTCAGACAGGGAACATTCTTGTATAAGAAATATGAAAATCTCCAGGAAAGTCTTACAGATGTGAGCTTCTAACACTTCAGATGCCTAGCCAATCCTTTCGTGTCTCTAATTCATAAAACAAAAAATCTTTCAGTCTTGGGGTATTTTGTTTTGGGTATTTTATGTGTCAGTCAAGGTAACCATCGCATATGCCTTCAGTACAGGAAAATTTAGTATAGTACTTACATGGAGTTCTGCCGGCATGAGGAAAGGTTTTAGACTATAATCAAATAAATCACAGAGGGAGGAGTAAACATACGTTTTTTACCCTTTGTTGAACAACCGCTCACATGTCCTGAGCAAGAATCTTTGTAGATTTTTATTCAGCCAGAACAGTGCAGAATAAGCTAAGGGCACAGACCCTGGAGCCAGCATCCCTGGATTCAAACCTCACTGCTGCCATTTACCAGTCCTGTGATTTTAGATGAATTAATCTCGCTGTGCCTCAGTTTCCTCATCTGTAAAATGGGGATAAAAGTAGCATCTATTTCATGGGGGTTTTAGGAGGATTAAATAAGTTAATACTTGTAAAGGCCAAAGAACAGTGCCTTGCATGCATATATACACACACTATATGATGCTTATTTTAATAAAAAGGTCAATAGGCATTCATCCCTGTAATAAAAACCTATGAAGAAGAAAATAAAGTAATGCAAGACAAAGACGGCAAGAGGGAAACATTATCTGCTAGTTAGTGATTCTAGCTAATTGCTTAGCCTCTGGGGGGCTCATCTGGAAGATGTGGCAAATGTCACGATGTAGTCAGGGGGCTTATCTATAAGAGCAATCTGTAGATTGCACAGTGCTGTGTACATGAGAGAGAGTGTTGCTCCTCTGCCATGTGCAGCCTATAAGGCAAGGTCTCAGACATGGCACTAGCCCTCAAGGGGCTTACCATCTAGGGGAGGCGGTTCGTAAATGCACATGATAGTGCTAGGAAGCATATGCTGAATGCACTTGCTTAAAGGCATTCAGACACACTATATGCATCTGAATGGCTGTACAACACTTGTGGGGCCTGTTGCCCTGTTTTTGGAAACTGAATCTTTCTTGAAAATGAGTAGCCTTAAAGAAGGAATGGTGGAGCGACACCCAGAGGTTAAGAAGCACACTTTGTTAGAATTAAATGCATACCATATGTTGCTGTGGTTTGTACTCCATAGGATCATCTGCGTTTTCTTTGGCTGTCCATGGTTGCAGAGCATGAGCAGTAAAATGCCAAAAGATGCAAAGGCTGCTGACCAATGGTCTTTAACAGCAGTTTGAAAACACATATAATACAGAGGAAGGAATGTTTAATTACTATGGTAAAGACCCATAAAATGAACAATTGAGTCCTAATTACAGACTAACTACAGACTAAAAGAAGAGCGACCTCTTTCCAATGCCCGAATTTAGATGTATTACTAATACTTGCCTCTATTTTGTATAGTGTCATCTATTAAGAGCTCACAGCAGTTTTTAGACATTTTAATTTGGGAGTCAGCGTGTTGTTGCCGTATGTGACTAATCTTTTTGAGGCAGATGTTCCTGAGTTCAAATCTCAACTATACCACCTATTAATTAGATGTGACATATTGGGTAATTTCTCAGCTGCCCAGAGCCTATGTCTTCTTAGCGTCCTGTAACACACACCCTGCAGTTTGTCGTGAGGATCAAATAAAATAAGACGTGTAAAGTGCCTGGATACAACAGGTTTTCACAAATATACTGCTCTTCTCTACTTTTATTATTTACCTTTCCAATGATTGTCACGCACAGAAAATTTTAAATGTTACCTGTCTGTGATTAGAAACAGTTTTGGAAAATATTGGGCGGTGGTGTACATGTTAATTTCAATTCTTCAATATGAGTATTGATTATGTGTATGTATGTTGTGTGGCCTGGAGTTTGGAATAAAACTTCCTTCACATGTTGCAAAACTTTTCTAGATAGAGTTTTTGAGGTAGCATGACTTAGATCCTCCCCTTTGTGGAGAACAGAGGGTTCTAGCCTTCGCCCTGCTCACTCGAGGGCGTCCTCAATGAAGAGATGACCCATGCATTACGTCCCGGATATTCCTGACCTTCAGT